ACATAAATAAAGGAAAGAAAAACGTAAAAGTGTGGTAATAAAAACATAAAAGAAAGATGTGGATATTGATGCTGAGATGGTGTAAGTTAGCATTGCAACCCTAACCCTCGACGACAGTGGCGAGCCGTCACGGCCCTCTAGGCTTTCTCTGAGGTCCTAAAATATTATACAAAATAATTATTATATAATAAAATATTATAAAAATATTTTTTAAATATTTTTCATTAGTTTTACCAAAATAACTTGATTTAATTTTATTTAAAATAACATTTCCAAAGAAATAAATCCTTCGAGTCTGCCTGTTCAGTTTCTGTTAGAATGTGAAGGGTTAAATGAAAGAAGCTCGTCTCTTCGAGGTGAAGACAGGAGCTGTTTGGTGGTCCTGCTGTAAATTCACAGAGGGCCCGCTATAGTAACTGAACGAGAGAGTAATGTCAATGTAATGTTTTCTTGTTTCCTTAGCAACAACAACAACTTCCTGTCAACAGCGTAAACCCGCCTTCAAAATAAAAGCATGCCAAATTACACATACAACTGCAACGAAAGTAACCCTAACCCTAATATCCTTTTCAATTTCAAAGAACACAAATTGGGTTATTTACAGGTGTTGTTTTGTGTGGTAGAGGGTCGCTTTCATTGATGCGGTTTCCCCCCCTGGCCGTTGTTTTGATATTCCGCTTCCGCTTTTTTTTTATATTCAAGGGAAGGGGTGGGGGTCAGAGGGCCTAGGTATAAAAGTCACGGCTCGCCACTGCTCGACTAAAAGCAATAGGATTTTTCCATTGGATTTTGGGATATTAAAGAAAATAAGATCTTTATGATACTTACACATGTTGTCCAGTGGGATAATCTCCCCATGTTAGCACCACTTTATGATTTTTGAAGTAAAAAGCCATTATTGCAATGTCACATACATTTGCGTCACCACCGCTAAGCTAACGGCGGCTAATGTTGGGCGTCATGAAGTCTCATTTAGACACTTGTTAGCAACCACTGCTTGTGAACTCACCATTGGGGGATTTACTGACGTATATTATGTTGAGAACAACATCTCTTCAGCTCGTGTTAACCTTATTTCAAACCTTTAACCACAAATACGTTTAAAAAACATTTATTCAATATGAGGGTTGTGGTTTTAGGAGTCATTCCTGCAACACCTTATGGGCTGACAGACTGGGAGGATGATGTAATTGAAAGAGGAAGGCAAGAGATAAGGAGGAGATGAGACGGACCTGTGTGTTTAAACAAATGAAAAAAAGACATGTGTGGATTCTTGAGCAGATCAAAAGGGTATGAAATGTAAAGTGTGTAAAAAGAGCCAGAAGCGACCGCTGTCACACGCTGAGAAACAGCTGGACTCCTGTATAACATGGAAATAAAGCCTCATGCATTATACACCTTTTTATTTTCTGGGGTCGAAACCCATCAGTGACTCAGATTGTCACATGGTGGTCATCTGTCCTTTTGATTGGCTGTAAGGCTGTAAGGCAGGGAGAAGCAGGAGGGGCTGAATAATAAAACTCAATCTTAAAGTGTTTTGGTCCAGCGAACACTCAGCGGTGAGCCATAGGTGTGTGTGAGCCCGGCTCCATCACACAGCTGGAGGGAAGCTCTCTGTATATACTGTGGCCTGGAGGCTTTCCGCTAATGTATTCCCCTTCATATCACAACAAATAATTCCTCCACTGCTAGCTGAAGCCCTGACAAGGTGGACAGCAATTATCACCTGGGCTCCTCAGATTAGCGCTGCCTTCCTCTCTGTATGTGCAGCGTGTTCAGTGTGGGCTACAGGCAACACAGGACATGCTTCATATGGCGAGACTCTGGAGTGTTTCTGCGATGGCGGTGTGAAGGTCAGGTTGGTGGAGGGGCGTGTAACACGTTCATCTCTCATGCCTTTCAACACTGGAGTTTAAATAATTCATTTATCATTTCAGACGGACAAATAGTGTTGGGGTACTTGAGATCCAGGACCTTAACGATACAGATCACATACCGTGTTGGTCTGTTGATGTGGGAAACACGTAGAAAACACATTTAAATTCACACGTAACATTTAGTACAGACAGATGGAAGTCATCTTTCTGGAACATCCTAGTGCCATAGTTTATAAAGTATTTTTGCCTTTTTCAATAACCTTGAATAGTTTGCAAACATTGTACTTCCACTACTTTACTGCATTTAAATTTAAATTAAATGCACATATAGTAAATACTACTACTTTGACACTTTTATAACGTATATAAACAGATCTGTTTTGATATATTTGTAGTAGTAGATTGTTTTATTTTTATACTATTGTGTATATGTTCTATACTTTAGATTTTCAATACACTGTTTTTTGGTCTGTGTATATACTGTTTTTTTCATGTATTCATTTTTATTTCTACTATTTTTTAAGAAATGTGTGATATAGCAATTTTGGATGAATAGAGTATATATTATCTCATCTAAAAACAATGCCACAATAAGCATACTACCGTTTAAAATATGTTTTTTAAATCACATTACTCTCACTTGGATTCCTTATTTCAGTTCAAATCCACAACACTTGCAGGCCTTTCTACCTATTTCTACTATTTCCCTTTACTCTCCGGGTTTTTGCTATAATTCAATTGGTGTATCTGTCAGTGAAAGGATTTTCTAAAATCCCCTCCCTGGAGGTGAAGCAGAGGTTTTAGATCCAGACCTCCAGGCCTCAGGGCCACAGCATCACACTCTCCCCACGCAGAGGTGCTCTTTCCTGGGAGACGGACAGCCATAATAGGGGGTCATCCATCCGCAGCCTCGGGTGCAGTGTAGCTGATCAATACGAACACACAGACACTCACGAACGCAGGCACGCACGCACAGACACACACACACACACCAACACACACCACACACACTCACGCAGACACACACATACTGTACACACACGCAGACACACAAATACTGTACACACACGCAGACACACACATACTGTACACACACGCAGACACACAAATACTGTACACACAGGCAGACACACAAATACTGTACACACACGCAGACACACACTCACACATACTGTACAAATACACACACATAGACCTACACACACACACAGACACAGACACAGCCATGCAGACCCACCCACATCACACACACACACACACACACACACACACACACCACACACACACACACACACACACACACACACACACACACACACACACACACACACACACACACACACACACACACGAAGACACACACACACGCACACACACACACACACACACACAAATACTGTACACACACGCAGACACACACATACTGTACACACACGCAGACACACACATACTGTACACACACGCAGACACACA